ACCCCAAGTTAAATTAAAACAATAAAATAAACTCTTGGCAGAACTCTGTGAACGAACTTAGATTTTACCAACCACAACTACTTTATATCCATTGGAGATAACGTCATAACTATTTCTAAATATTTTAAGACTTAGGTTATAAATAATACCCCCCCCCTCCCCAACTGGCTCAGCAGCAAGTCTGAAGACTTTCAACGCTAAAAACGTGGTTTCGATACCCGTGGTGGGCACAACACAGATAGCCTTTGTGCTTAACAGCAAACAAACACACAATAAGCAATACATCAAGATATTTAAAGGCACACAATATATTGAAGATAATGCTGGTTTACCGCAATATTTTTTGAATATCGGCGATATCTCAATCATATTTTAAAACTTGTTGAACTAGTACCCACATTGTATACTATTAAACCTTATTAAACTTTAAGTAAAAACTGTGCAGCCCATCCCTTCATAAACGTATCCACCCTAGTTTAATTTAGGCGTACAACATGACGACACAAAATCAGTTAGTTCAATTATACGACGTTTTACCCCCTCGGATTTTAGTTATTGGTACTTGCGTTTTTGATGTGTTTGTTTTATTATTATCAATTACTTTTTGAAATTACGGTATTCGATTCCGGTTTCCGGAAGCACCCACCATTATGAGAGTGAATAGAACACATAGGTTTTACCCCAATTAGTGTGGGAGGGTTTGTTTGAAGTTAAGCACAAAGCTACACAATGAGCTAGCTGTGCTCTGCCCACCACGGGTATTGAAACCCGGTTTCTAGCGTTGTAAGTCCGCAGACATACCGCTGTGCCAATGGGGGTAGGAGGAATGTGTGTGTGTGTGTCAATGAATGAATAAAACACATAGGTTTTACCCTGAACAGTGGGTGGGAGGTGTGTGTTAGTGAATGAATAAAACACATGGTTTTTACCATATACAGCGGGTGGGAGGTGTGTGTTAGTGAATGAATAAAACACATGGTTTTTACCATATACAGCGGGTGGGAGGTGTGTGTTAGTGAATGAATAAAACACATGGTTTTTACCATA